GTCCCCGAGGCCTCAAACGTTCCCATGAGGATCCCGATGATTCGGAACCTCATGAGGGGGAGAACAAGAGACCTCGGACACTTGAGCAAGCAGCCTCTACCAGCCATGAACCCCAGCCAAACACCTCATCAAACCAGCCCACCAACCAACCACCACCTTCCTCGAACCACAACCAAGCCCAACTCTCTAGCCTGGTCGAGCTAGATGAAACATCCCGAGGCTTATCTCCTAGAGATACTGTCCGAGGAGGGGATGGAAGTCCTGTAGTGGTTACCCCTGGTACATCACAAAGCTCAGGCCATCGATCAGAACACAGCTCAAAATCGATGACAACATCCCGAGGCGTGTCTCAAAAGGATACCGTCCGAGGAGGGGATGGAAGTCCTGACGATGCTATCTCTGATTCATTTGTCAAGTCAGGCCATCAGCCAGAACTCAGTTCTAAGCTGATGACAACGGGCAATCCTAGTGAACCCGGTTGTGCTTCAGGAGAAAGATCACCGCAGCTGAGAGTCCCATACATTCCCCAAGGCAAAGACATTCATGATGCACTCGAGGATGCTGTGGTACACGACGTTTGGCCGAGAAAGTGGACAGAGTGGGATGATCTTAGATGTGAAGCTGAAACAGAGGATATGCAGCGAAATTGGTGGCTGAGAGAGTTGCTGGCCAAATGCGCAGAAGATATCATACGCCTTGATGAAGAGGAACTCAAAGAAGGGGAGGACTACAAAAAGATACCCAGGGAGCTAGAATCCGTCATCAGACAAACGGCAGGCAAGATGCCCCCAAAAGAAAAGCTCTGGGAAAACATTAGAATAAATGCCCCCTTCCAAGAGGAAATCAGAAAGGGAATTTGGAGAACCGCAGACAAGCTCAAACAGCTCGATGAACTGAAGATCCGTGGCTTGACTCACCTTAAGGGCAAACTGGCTGGCGGACATCTTCACATGCTGATGCACAGATCATCTGGAAAACAACGACAAATACTTGAAAGAGACATTAAGTCCAACATCCACCCTATTGACGCTATCCTTGATGTGCACAGAGAAGATCATCACACCATCCCGTTCTGCAGCTTCAAAGTTCGACGAACAGACTCCAGCATATTCATCTGCCAGGAAAATGATTTTATAATGATGAAGATGGAGGATATCTACCAAATGTTCATGGTAAGTAGGTATCTCTCACTGAATCGAAACAGGACACACGAAGAAGGTTATGAGGCGATCAAGCGATTTATGCTGAGACAGATCAGATTCTATGCTGCCCATGATCTACAGATGGTCCTGGAAAACAATGTCAGAAAAGCAAATCTGGTAAAGCCAACTATGTACGGTCCAGAGCTCAAAAAGTACAGACCATATCATATCTTCAAGGACCCAGTCTCTATCATATATCTCAATCACGAGGAACAGAAAAGACTCATGTGGGTAGAAGACATTCACAAGTATTGTGATGAGACTCTGAAGATCATACAGACTAAGCTGCAGGAGATCAAGGAGAATATAGATCCAAGACTTGCGGACGCCAGCGAGGAAGAACTCATAGTATACGAGAAGGTGTGGACCATCCTAAAGCCCATCAACGAGCAACTTGAAAAGACAAATGGATTAGAGAAGGTGTTCGATAACTTCTCAAAGTGAGTGGGTGTATCTCAGTAATTTCTACCATAACTTAAAATTTCTATTGCTGCTTAGTGTGTCTTTGTTTTCTTGCAATTTGGTGATTGACATACATTGTGTGGAATGTGGGAAGGACTTGCTTAGCATTTCTCTCCTAAACTCCCCTAAAGTTATTAAAATGAAACAAGCCTGGTGTTTAGAATTTGGTATCTTATTATGCCGTCACAAAAAAAGACATTGGAAGCTACTGTTTGCAAATGCAAAGCTCCTTATTGGGTGGGAATAGAAACTTGGCTTAACTTATTGTTGTATATCATGTAAGGTTGGCTATTAAGTGACTGTAATTCAAAATTTTGAATTGGAATCTTTGCAGTAGTAGGTGAAGAAGATCAACTTGCACATGGATAATGGCTCCTGAAGCTTGAATTGCCATTTTTTGTTTACTTCATAAAGAAAAAGGTTTCTTTACTCAAGTAGCTAAGGAAATGAATGAATCTCCTCTTCTACAGAAAAGGAGAAATAGAGTAGAGTAGAGAGTCTGCTAGCTCTTCTTCTTTCGGTGTCCTGAACAAGTCATCAATTTCAAGAGTTCACTCTATCCCGGGTGGCAGATGGCTTCATTTGTATTTAGGCTGGCTTATTCTTATTTTGGCACCACTGAAAATGATAGACAATTCTGATGGATTCTGCATTAAGGTGCATACAAGGAAGAAGAAATGTGATCAAGCAAAGGCAAATAATATAATATATAAATGTAATAAATTAAACTAATCGATTGAATTATATATCAGTTGTGATACATTTTTACGCTGATTGTTATTTCATTTTATTGTATCAAAATTGTTTCATTTTGTTGCACTGTGTTTCTTTTTGTTGTATTAGAATTGTTTCATTTTGTAGCATCGTGTTTCTTTTTGTTGTATCAGAATTGTTTCATTTTGTTGCATTGTGTTTCTTTTTGTTGTATCGTGTTGCTTTTTGTTGTAGTGTGCAGCTTATTGTACGTTGTTTATTGCCGATTTTGTTTGTAGTTTAATATTTAGGTATTTATTCATCTTGGCTACTTTCTGGAAATAAAAAAACCAATATCAATTTCTGTGCAAACATTTAAAATTATAAATTTAGATTTATGAATATAAAAACAACTAGAAACAAAAATAAACAATAAAAAATGAATTCTCTTATAATTATCAACAAAAAGAAACAAGTATTATGTTTTCACATTTTGATTTTTGATATTATGTTTTTTATATAGATTTTAACTTTTGTAGTCTTTTTAGTATTTTTCTTAATTCTTAGAACTTTAAAGTTTATTATAGTTTGAGCTTGAATTGTTTTTTAATTTATTTTACATTTGATGTATTTATCCACATTTTTACATTTTTTAATTTGAACTTTTTCTTACTCTGTATTATTTTTATGTTATTTAATACTCAAGATTTTAGATTATTTTGGTTTTAACTTTTTTTGTACATTCTTTATTTCCAAAACATTTTTTTGTTGTTTGCATGTTCAAAATTCGAAAAAATACGTACTATATTTTTTTTTCTTTTTTTATTCTTCTTTACCTTTTTGCCAATTTTCATTGTCTTTCTAATTTCAGACTTTACAATTTTCAATTCTGTTTAACATTCCATTTTTGTAAAAATTTATAACATCTTTACACTCACAAAAACTTTTCTTATTATTATTATTATTATTATTGCTTTTGATTGTTAGTTTTCAATTAGAATAAAAAAATTGAAGTGCGTGACATGAATACGAGTTAGGGAGTGGGTCCAATTTTTTAGTAATTGTAATTAAGATGCGTGACTTGAGTCACGGAGTAAGTGGGACTGTGGGAGCAGAGTTGCGGAGTTCAGTTTTGGCCTTTGGGCGTCACTGCGTCAGGTCTCTTGTTGAAAAGAAAGTTTCAACTTGTCCATTGGTGAAAAAACTTTCAAAAAATGAAAAAACAGATATTATTTTCAGTTTTTAGTTATTTGTGAAAAATCCCCTATAGAAAACCTTGGGAAGGGAAAGTTAGGTCCTTCCTTCACTCTCATAAAAGCGCCAAATGACTTCTCGCCTCAAGGGAAGCTAGCAAGTGGGCCAAGATAAAATAAATTAGCTTTTTATTTAAACTATTATAAGTTTGGTATTTATACTCCAAAATTTATAAAAAATATACCAAACTTCATAACTTTTTATAACCTTTCATTTGATGTCAATATAGCATATATAAATTTCAAAACAAAAAATTCAACTATTGGAGCGTATTTTATCTCAAAAAAATCTGATCTCATTGTTCAATATTTTTTATTCAAGTATTAAAATTAAGATCTCATTGTTCAATCTTTTTTTACATTTATCAACTATTATTTCTTCAAAATAAGTCTGAAGTAACAAAAAAAACTAAACTCCAAATTTATTTATTTTTACATCAGAATTTTTGACTTTTTAATGTTAAACAGGTCATAGTATATAAAATGAAAACTTGATAATATAGAAATATAGAAAACAATTAATAGTTTTAAATTTATTTCAAATTTAACTCAGGTACGCATTTTTAATACTTACAAAAAAATTAATACACTTTTTTTATTTTTTTACATAGGAATGTTTGAGTTTTTAAACAATAATTATTGGTCAAAATAAAATTAAAACATAAATGATGTGTAATAAAATAACCAAGGATTAATGCATTTAATTAAAAAAATATGTTGGGAGTGGATATATTGACGGTACTTAGAGAAAAACTGAATTGACTGAATGAATACATATAAACTAGAGGGGAATTAAATTTATTGATAGGGCTGGGTTGCGGTTAGCCTTATGGCACCATCTTCACCGCTCATAATTTTAGGGAGCACTTTACTAAAATAATGAATGAATAGGATGGTCCACACTACCTCATATGACTCTATAGGAGAGTCATATGGGACTTTAAAATATTTTATGGACGGTGGGTGATTCAAGATACAAAGCACCAGTATATAATTATTTAATTGTAAACAATTATCAATTCCACAAATATATCCTCTTCTTTGACATTTTTTCAAAAAAAGACTAAACTTCATCTTTTTCAACAATTATGTTTCTCTTTTTTGTTTTTAAAAAATTATACATTTTTATCAATACCAATAAGGTATAAGCAATATAAGTTTGTAAGCTTAAAACTATAAATAAGTGAAAAATATGAAATATAAATACAATTTTCTTCTTACGTTTTACTGATTCATTCATTGAAAGTATAACTGTGAGAAAAGTTGTAATTTGAGTCTTTTTTTATAAAAGTTAAAGTATGGGATATATTTGTGAATTTAATGATAGTTGGGTTTGTATTTAGCTAATAGTCCATCTTATTTAAACGCGTTAGACAAACCACTAAAATGAATTGGACAAATATCGGGGAACATTTGTCATTATTTTATAAAAGAGTAAGAAAACATATACAGAGGAGGACTAGACCAAAATCTCTCCGAGAGAAAATGAAGGAAACAAGAAGAAGAGCTCGAGGGCCAAACCTAACCCGAGTAAAAATTAATATATAAAATATGGGAACCCAAACAGATGAGTGTAATAGATATGCCTAGCTGAACTGGGAAGCATATCCAGCAAAGTATATGAACGTAATTGGGCTGGACAATTGATTGGATCAGTTAGCACACGGGTTAATCCATTCCCTTTGCGTAAAGTGTGTCCAAACAACACACCACTCCTTTTCGTCTGCTCACAAAATGTCCGAAGAAAACCCATCCCACCTGAGAAATTGTTGTCGAAAATCAAGCTGAGAGTGGAAGGAGAGCCTGTTTCAACTTGGAAGTTAGATAGTCCTTTCGCCATCGCCCACTCTGTAGTTGTAGTCAATGCCAGAAGCTCAGCCTCATCCACCGAAGAAGATATAACAGGGAAGCTAATGGCCCAAATGAAATGTCCATGTTTATTCCTCATGACTGCTCCTCTAGATGCTTTACCTGGTACGAACTATGCATCTACATTCAATTTTAGGTCTCTCTCTCTGTATGTCCTACAACATATCTATTTATAGAGCCAGTAGTGAACATCCTAGTTACAATAGGATGACCGAATTAATTAAATTAAAAGGTCCCTAATTAATTATAAAGCCCGCTTCTAGAATTCTAATAATTCAAAGATAAATACAATAAAATTGAACACAATAAAGTATGTTCTAACAAACATGTTATTCCTTGAACCACTATAAAATTCACTGGTGTCTTTCACTTACTGCTTTTACCTTATTACACTAGGATCTTAACTATTTAACTCAAAGGAGCGTGGACTTTGTGTTAAGTAGATCTCGATCTACTTAAAAATATAACTTAAATCTCAGTAGCTCATCGATCTCTGGTGGGAGGTCTGAGTAGTTCAGCCTTACTAAAAAATGTAAGGCTGAACTGTGTCTCTCCTTGTTGCATAAACGCCAACCAATCTTGCACATGTGCACTCATAGCATTAGGGACATGAAAAATATAAATTAAATTATTTTAAAATTTGTGCATTTGGGAATTTTTTTCTTTTGAATATGTTTGTGTTTTGAAATAAATTTATCATATCACTCTCAATTATACTTGTCCAACAAAAATGTTTAACACAAGGGGTGTGACACCGCACCCGGAGGTACTTGAATTTAATATTCAATATGTATTTGAATTTTTTAGCGAATATTTTCGTGTACAGGAATGATGGTTAAATAATGTGTGATTAATTAAATTATCTATCGGGCCCATAATTTTGAGTATGGGCTACCAAAAATTTAGTTGGGTCAATGTAATAATTATAGAAGCCCAATAAAATGCCAACCAAAGTTGGAAAAAATGGTTGGACAATACAAGTGCTATTTTGACACAACCTGCCAGAAATAGCAGGAATAATTGAAAGAAATTTCCTATACCCACTTGGAATTTTCCTACATGCATTGTATGCTCCAAATAATGATTTGGAGACAAGAAAATATGATAGGGCGGACTTTTAGGGAGAGGGGATAGCTCAAGACAAAGCCACACCCCTATGTCCTATCATTGGCATTATCTTGGCCTTTGATTGAGAAAGAAACACCTCCCTTAGTCATTTTACACCGTACACAAGAAGCAAGAGGAGGATAAGGTCTGGGAAAGAGGTCTCAAGGTTCTGGAGGTGAGAAACCGAGAAGAGAAAAGAATCCAAGAAGAAAAGCTAGAGTTTGAGGTGAGAACTCAACTAGCTTTTGTTGTATGATTTTTAAGAAATCATATGGGTGGATTAAACCATGATTTCTACACGTTTAAAAGTGTAGAATATTGATATAAAGTGGTGGTATTTAACTTAGAAGAATCGTGGAATCGATAGGAGTTGAAGTCGCCGGAAACCGCCACTCCAAAGGAGCTGTTCGTAGTTGCAGACTACGAAAGCCGCCCGGCTTTTGTGAAAGCCGTCCGGATTTTGGCTGCTGCCCAGGAATTTCACTTTCAGTTGGCCTAGAACGGGAATTGATCGGAGGATTTAGAAAGGGCAACTATTGTAGCACATCACAATGTGAGGATGACTGACTATATTGCTTATAATTAGTGAGTTAATTTCATAAGATTACCTAAGGTAATTAAATGTGATTTTCATGGATTATTAATGATTAATAATGCCTAAATGAAAATACTATTGATATGAGAAGTGAAGCATGATATACAAATTTAGAATAAATTGTGTATCATTATGTGATATGAAAGTGATGGCATGATGATGGGATTAACTATGAAATGTTGTGATAAAATATACTTTTACTTCATGTAAGGAATTCATGAGTGGATAAAAGTGATATTTTTGATATTGAGATTAAATCATATTTGGATTGGGAAATCAATTGAGATGAATTGTTTGACTGTGAATTAAGAACTTGGTTGTTCTAAGATTATCCGACTAGTATTGAAATACTAGTCGGGAGATTAATATAAATAAATGATGGAATTAATCCTAAGAGATAGGGTTATGAATAGATATGCATTAAGTAGTCTTAAGAGATACTTTAAGGTTGAATTGTATGAACACTAAGGTGTGTTAGGGGTAAGCCTAAAGGCTACCCAAGTGAATTGATTCTAGACATAGGATTTGCTTGAGAATTGGACTATGGAAATAAATTAGAGTCGGACTCTAGGATTGCATGGAAATGTAGTTGGACCGAACCCTTGCCATGTAATGTGATTAGCATGGAAACGTAGTTGGGGCGAGCCCTTTCCATGTATTTGTGATCTTTGTGGAAACGTAGTTGGGCCGAGCCCTTGCCACGAAGTTATGGTTGGTATGGAAACGTAGTTGGGCCGAGCCCTTGCCATACAATTTTGATGTGTTAAATTGAGTTAAAGAATTGTATAGAAATGTAGTTGGGTCGAGCCCTTGCTATACAATTGGGGCTCAAAGGAACCCTATGGGGTTGTCGTGGCTTGTGGTCACGGGGAATGAAAATGGTAAATTCTAAATGAATAGGGGCCCACGGGCCAGCTACTTGACTTTGTATAAAGTAAGTATGGTTTTAAAAATAAAAGGGGTAACCGAGGGTTATGGCCTATAATATAATATCATCCCTAGATTGAGGGTCTTAGAAATTGAAACATTGATTATACTTAGTATAGTTGTCATTGTACTTGTCAAATGCTTCCAAGTACTGACCTCCCCTTCACGGGGGAGGCCACCTCACAGTTTTAGGTAGAAGTTGAGCTTGCTACCAGTGCGCGTTGTTCGGGAGAACCAAGGAAGGAAGGCGTGGTTCGTGCTTCCTCCGTTTCTGTTTTAAAGACATTTAAACAAATGCTCATGGATATTATTTTGAATAATTATTTGGAGGCTTGTATGCCTAAGTTTGCCAATTGTGTCTTAACTCTTGTATTAAATGTTTCCGCTGCTTTAATGAATGTTTTTACATTATGTTTGTTTATGTATGTACTATGTGTTGATGATATTCCAGACGCCTTGTATAGTATGGATGTTTTGGACTGCGGTTGACTATTCGTACTGTACGGCGGGTTGTTGACGTGTCCGGATGGGTCCAGGGCGTGACAAGGGGTCCATATATACATGTTCAAAAATTATGATAAGTATATACGTCCTTCTGAATTTAAACTCTTAAGAAATTTGATGGTCCCTGATAGGGTAAAAGTCTAGAGGGGGGGGGGGGGGGTGAATAGACTTTTAAAATCTTTTTCGACTTTTAAAAGTTTTCCCTCTAAAAGAGTTAATCTATAAACTTTTGAAAGATTTATAGATGCACAGCGGAAGTCTTTACCCTTTATGTAATGAGTGTTTAGCCACTTTCTAACTTGGAGAGTATTTGGCATAGAATGCTAGCAGTTGGCTTAGCAGGTGGCTAAGAGCAGAGAACTGCTGAGGCAACTGCTTAGGAAATGCAGCTTGTGTGATGAAGGTAATCTGGTGAGTTTTGAGATGTTTGACAAGAAGTAAGTATATATGAGCAGAGGGCTCAGCAGTTGGGTGGATTGCAGGGAACTGCTGAGGCACCTGCTGTACTTAGAAGGTGGATTTCAGAGAACTGATAGAGTGATCATTTCAAGTGATGTTGGTGCACGTTAAAGGTGTGAATTTGATCTCAAAGAAAGTGAGTAATGAAGCAGTAGGATAAGCAGTTGGGTCAATTAAGACAACTGCTTAGGATGCTGCCGGCAAACTACAATCTTTATGTGAGAAGTGTTGGGTGTGTGCTTTGTTGACTGAAATGAAATCAACACACGATATATCCTGGTTCAGAGGTGGTGTAATCCTCCTACGTCCAGTCCCACCCTCTTTCAGATGGATTTCACTAAAGTATTAAGCCCAATACACTTAGTGTCAATCTAGCCTTTACAACACTCAGACCTAGATTGAAGGTTTTTCACGATGAGTATAGCACCACTCAAAGTTACTCAGTCCTTAGACTTTTCTCTAATGAACCAGTGGGGATCAAAAGGTACACTATCTATCTACTTACACTGTAGGATCCGAACAACTGTTCTCCTAAGTGTTTACCACAATATGTGATTTGTTACAAGAAAGTTCTAACCTCCAACTAGGAACTAAACTTCTATGATTTAGCAATGAAGAGCTTGTATACTGGAAGTTTAGTGAATCATGAGTCCAAGCAGAGAGTAAAGTTTAGAATAGCACTTTCTCTTTTGCTAGATATCTCGTGAATACTCGTGATAGAAATTCTCTCTTTTGGATGCTCAAATCTTGGTTAGAAACTTTCGTTTCTGCCTATATTTATAGGCTCTCCGGTTAATTGATCTCATCTGTTGGTTAGGATAGATCAATCTTGTGCGTTGAATTTGTTCGCAGAAGATAAACAACTTGTTGTTTATTTTGTTCTTCGGAGCATGTGGGTTCTTTTGTCTTGCCCGCCTAGCCACTGTTGATACCTTTTTAGGCTTCAGACTGTGCGCCCATGTTGTAGGTCCATGTACCTGTTTTAGCATTAACTTCCGTCTATTTTTGTCTTCAATTGATTGCTGAAATATTTCTTTTATGTGCGTTTTCAGTGCTCCAGACCCCAGTACATATTTGGCATTAAATGCCGATCAATTTTTTTTTGTCTCTAATCATCCATTTGATATTTCGAGCTTCGTGACATACGAATAATTTTTGAGTCAAGCAATATTTGCCGGTAGGATTCAAGTATCCTATTAAGGTAAAGAAATTTTACCTTATTGCATTTTTACTTTTCCGGTAATATTTCTTAGACTCAAAAATTGTACATTAAATTTTTCACGTTAATACTAGAACAAAATGAGACACAATGTACACGTGTGAAGTATAGTGGCATCATCAAAATCTTATCAAAATTGGGTACTAACAAAATTATAAATGGATTTCGTATCATTCTATTCCATAAAAATCACAAATCCATAATAATCAAAACGAAACCAGGAACTAGTAAATACTGGAGTGACCATCAATCAACTTTGTGTCATAGCATAATCAAATTGTGTAAAATACAGAACGGAGAATTTTTGACCAATGATCGATTCAGTTTTGATTAAAATTCGATAGAACTGTATTAAAAATTGTAGGCGTTGGACTTCACACCCGATGATCACAAGAAGCCAATCCCGAAAACCGCAAGATGAATCTGGCTACTTCCTTTACCCGTTGGACGCGAGGTTCGACTCACCACACAAACTTGCTCAACCTCTGAAGCGCTTCAAGTCTTTAGAAGTTGATTAAGTTTCATAATAAATACAATAGAGCCATCTCAATTTTGGTTGAGATACCTTCTAAAAGTTTTAATTGTTAATGCATTCATTTTCTCTTTAAAAAAGTGTAAGCGTTAGCGTTAAATTTGATTCGATTCATTTTCTCTTTAGTTACATAAAAATATTCAAATTTCAAATCATGAAAATAATTGTCGAAGTTATGACCATTACATTATACATACATGATATTCTAATGTTCAAATATCACAAAAATATCCAAGTGCAAACATTAAATTCAAACACAACAAAAACATAAAGGTTTAAAATATGCATCAACTGCCTGACAACAAAAAGGTTTAATAGTTCCAATGTATACATCTAATAGCAAATAGTTCAACCCCAAAATAATATTTTTATACTAGTATTGCACCATAAGAAAAAAATACGTAGTAATAAACTAACTGGTAATATTAGTAATTTACTATAAACAAATAAAAACGTAATCTGCATCAACATTATATTATTTTTGAGGTAGACTCAAATAACAAATACAGTTACAAACAAATAACTACACGGATTGGCCTGGTCCACAATATATAAGATATACTACCTCCGGTCCCAAAAGAACTTCATTGTTTGACTTAACAGTTTTTAAGAAAGTGGAATTTTTTGTTTTGACTTTCTCATTATGCTCCTCAAAATGTAGATAAAGTGTAGTGGGAGAGAGAAAATGAGTGTAAAGTAGATAATAAAGTAAGGGTATAATGATAACTTTATGTTAAAAAGTTGTTAAAAATAGAAGAATGGAGTTTATTTTGGATCTACCCAAACATTGAAGTGTGAAGTTTATTTAGGACCGGAGGGAGTATTATTCAAGACAAATATTCCTGTCAAGAATTTCCTGACCAGAATGCCGGTTGAATTGACCACCTCCAATTGAGGTGCTTCTAGGTAGATCTTTTTTATGAAATTTTGTGATGCTGTTCTACATGAAGTGTCGATTATATCCAACAAATTTCAGCTTAAAATTAAACCGGGAAGTGAGTCAAATATATTATTGAAAAACATTGTATTTGTATATATAGTAATGTTTTTCAATAATTTATTTAACTGATTTCCTGGTTAAATTTTACTTCGAAAATTGCTGGACATAATTTATGCTTAATGAAAAACAAGTTCACAAAATTCATAAAAAATTCCACCCAGAAGCATCTCAAATGAATATTACTCATGCAAATGTATAAGAACTTCATTTCCTGCATAGGAACCGGAACAGATCTGGTCAAATACTATAGGAACCAAACTGAAATATGCAGAACTCCAAATCATATGAACTGAACCCGAACTGAATCAAATAATTCAATTCAGTTCAAACCGGTTTTCCTTAGGATTCCAAGTCTCTGACCTAATTTTTAGGCTAGGAAGGAGACAATAGGAGGGATCGGAGGTGAACGAAAAGGTAAAAAAATAGAGTGCATTTATATTTTATAATTATATACGGAGTACAGAGTAATGTGTATGGTGTACATACAACTTAACTTTTGTGTACATCAAGAATTAATTGCCTCTCACGATTTTTTAGCAGGGAAAAGTACAAATATATCCTTGTAGTATGGGTGTGGAAACCTCAAATATATCCAAGTTCTATTTTTTGGAGCAAATATACCCTTAAATTTTATGTAGAAATGGATATACCCCCGAACTTTTAAAAGGTGGAAAATAGCCCTCATGTTCCTATAAAGAAGCAAATTTACCCATATTAAATTTAAATAGAAAAAATATATTTTAAAATATACCAAAAATAAATTATAAATTTGAAATTGAAAAAAATACTTGTGTCCAATTCTCCCTTTTGTTATTTTTATATCACAATTTAAGATTAATAATATAAAATATTTTTTCAAAACTTTACTACATATTTAAGATTCTTTAGAAAAATTGTTAACATATGTGTTGCAATGTAGATTTTTTTTTTTTTGTATTTTTTGCACTATAAAATTACATATTTTGTACGATGATAAATTGTTCAAGATTATAAAATAGTGAATTTAATTTTAGTAAGGTTAAACAAAATCAAAGAATGTTAGTTCAAGATCATAACAATGTGTTCAAAATTTCACAACAAGACTAAAATTAATGTTTAAGAATTTGAAATGCTTCATTTACAACGGAAAAATAATAACTTTGCAATTTTATATTTAAGAGTTACGGAGTACGGAGTAATATTTTAACATAAAAATAAATCTTTAGTTTTAACTCTCTAAATTTTTTATTTTTCAACCTTGATTTTATAATTTATTTTTGTATTTTTTAAAATTTATTTTATTCATTTAAAGTCAATAAGATTAAATTTAGTTTAAGTTGAGTACTATATGAAGCATTTTTACCTCGAAAAGCGGATATGGCCGGACTCTTATAAAGAGGGGATCTAGACCATTTTGACATGTTTATTTTTTAACAAAAGTTTCTATTTGGACGGTATAATTAGTCCTTCAAAATTAAAAACAAACCCCATTACCTTGCCACTTTTTATAATTTTGTTTGATGACTAAATTTAAATTGAAGTGTAAATATCATTTTTTAAAATGAGTCGAACAATTATTTTATATAAAATGTTATACAGCTTAATATTTTCATTTATTCCCCAATTTTGACAAAAATGTATTGAATTTAATAAATTTTTATGATCTTTCATATGACACATATATTGTATTTATAAACTTTTGAAAAAATATTCTTTTTTGTAAGCATTTATATATATATATATACACATATATTATCTCTATTTTATATTTTTTTTATCTTTTTACCATATCTTACATTTTTATCTTTATTTTCGGTTTGGCTTCCAAGTCAAATATTGCTTCATGTTAGCTGACCCAAAAAAAATTGACACTAAGACTTGGAGGTTGTTGTATTTAATTTTTTATCAGATATAGGTTTATGTTATAGGGTTTTCCTTAAATATTACTACCTTCGTCAAGCTAGCATTGAGACATGATAAAGTGACACAATTACTAAGAAAAGTATATTTAATTATGTGGTTGATATTGAATTGATAAAGTAAGAATAAAGTAAGAATGATGTAGAATCACACAAACTTTATCAAATTTGATATTAGACAATCTAAATGACGTTCACATGTAAATTCATCGATATAAAATATATGGTCGTAATGCGGAATCAACATGGTGTTGATCGAGTTTTAAAAGATGGGACCGCCCCGCCTTTTGAAAGTGTTCACTACACTATATCAGTTTAAACTTGATCTCAAAGTTATCGACTTATAAGAAGACATAATTGAAATTTGAAGTATACATATTAATTCGACAAACATTCATTTATCAGGAGAGATTAATTTATTATTGTATTACCAATAAAGATGTTTTAAATTGGATTCAAATTTTCTGGTCTCATATGATCATATATGAATTGGTCGGGGTTTAATATGTTTAAGTCTGATCTAGTTTTTCTGGTCTAAACTGCTCTAATATGTTAGATGTCTATTCTATGTGTTATACAACCGTCAAAATCTGGTTAGATCTAGTCTCTTTACGCCTAGTCTGGCCTAAGATAAAAATCACTCTAATTAAAAACATCATGAATTATTTATATGATAATAGAATAAAGATAATACTCAATAAAAAGATGAATGAATAAGTGTATATGATCACCCAAATATCACTTAACACTATACGCGACAAACTTGATGAAACAGATAAAAAAAACTGAAATATGACTAGTGGGACGGATGAATGGATTCATACGTAGTATTAATTAAGATAAATAAACACCTCGTTAGTTTGGAAGTCATGATTACTACTTCGTACTTTTAGATAATCTTCATATTCATCACCCATTATAAAAAAATTGTAAAAGAATTATAAAAACATTACAGTGTATTACAAATACTTATTTAATAATTGTTTGAAGGTAATAATTGTATTTTAAAGAATCATTTTTAAAAAATAAAATTAAAACATATTTTAAGGAAATATAAAAACCATTCGTATTTTTTTAATTTAAAAAGCAATCCAAGTGTTTGGTACTTTGGCGCGGTACGTACTTTGGTAAGCTGCCTTCTATATATGAGAGCTCAAATTTTAATTAGCTCAAATAACAATTCTTTTTGTATACTTCTTATACACATCAATACATTGTACTAATTTGTAGAAGAAAACTCCCACAGACATCGTACAGATTTGTAGAAGAAGAGGCAGATAGAATTCCGTTTTTTGGGGAAAAAAAGGGTGCGCGTAAGAAAAGGGTGCGCATAATAAATTTTGGGGTCCGGGAAGGAGGTCCGTTTTTTATTCCGTCCTCCTGGAATTTCCTTTGCGCTTGAAAGAGATTACAGATATGGCACTGCAGCGTTTCTGTCGAGCTGCTCACGGCTTCCATCGTCACTCTCTATTCAGACCCTGGAATCCACAACACCCTAGCTCTGGATCCATTCTTTACTCCAACATCAACCCTTCCCTGCCTTCCTCTCCACACTCCTCTAGTTCCATTCAAGATTTTGAGAATTTCTACTGGAAGCACATCCAACACCCTCTTTTTTATTTTTCCTTTTCAAAGCATGGACATTTGAGTGCCCGGCAATCTTTTCAGTTCTCTTCATTACCTAACTCAGAAAAAACTAAAAATGAGCACAAGTCGGATTGGGTTGATTTGTATTTTCCCCAAAGAGTCCGGCCATATGCCCATTTGGCTCGACTTCATAATCCCATTGGGACCTGGTTACTCGTTTGGCCTTGCATGTGGTCAGTTGATCATTCTGTTTCTTTACAAGACGAGAACTTGATGTTTTTAGATGTGTTTGTTTATTTTTCAGCTCTACTTTTCAGGTCAATTACTCTGGCAGCATCACCCGGGAGTATGCCTGATATGAAGATGATCGTTCTGTTTGGTTGTGGAGCTTTGCTTCTGCGAGGTGCTGGATGTACCGTCAATGATCTACTGGATCGTGACATTGATGTGAAGGTAATTAAAGCTTCTGATACAAACACGGTTTCTCACAAAATTAAGCCAAATTTTACATTGTTATTTATCGGTTCACAAAACCATGTTTCTATTCATTTTTAGTTTTCCATTATTTTTATTCTTTATAATCTGTTAGGAAATTTTCTTTACAAGTTAATATAGAAATAACTTAAATTTAAAAAAAACATATGATTTCAACTAGTTAGGTACCCGGACCCGTTTAAATTAAAAAAAAATAGAAATAACTTAAATGGTCTTTATGACATTCATGGTTTTAAAGACTTAGGTCGTCAGTTTCAATCATTCAAACCCTAAATTGTTATTTTTATCTTTCTGAGTCTCTTAGGTGGATGGATAGCTAAACTATCTTTTGGGTCATAAAAATCCTACTCAATGTGTCTCATTGCCTCTTAGCTTCAGATTTCAGAGACTACTGTTATGTGGATGTTCCTATCCATTTTTTGGTTTATCTGATACATTTACTGTGCAGGTACAGAGAACAATGTTGAGGCCTATTGCCAGTGGAATTGTGACACCATTTCAGGGTCTGTGTTTTCTTGGCTTTCAATTGCTTTTAGGTCTTGGGATCCTTTTGCAACTAAACACTTTTAGGTTAGTATCTACTTTTACTACCTTTGTATTAAACATGTATCTAACAGACTAACACGCAGAGTATTATGATGATTGGATGTATCTGACCGTACTGGACCCGAACCAGAATCTCCAAATCATAGGACAGAAGATCACCGGCATAATTCTAGTCCGGGACTGGATTATTTCGGGTATGACCGGATCAGGGCGGTATTGGACTGGAGTCGTGTGTTTTTGTAATTTTTATTTAAGCTTTGTTAACTCTTATAATTTTAACACTGAAAAAAGCTTAGAAGTCTAAGTATGGAGCTTAAGCCTTGTCATGTATGCTCATACATTTCCCCACTTGGGACTGGTCTAAGTGTCAATCAATTGAATTCTAATTGTAATGTTACTCCACTTTGTCTCTCTAGATCTCAACTTGTCTCTATAATCCGGATGTCAATTATTCATCATTTGGTGCTCTCTTTTAGAGGAAGAACTATCAAGTTAGGACCTGTCCACAAACACAAAATGTAAAATAAAGCATTCAAAATATGAGAAGTTCATGAAGAACACACTTGAATATTTACAGAACTCCTTTGATGGTTTACCGATGAGCCTTTGAAGGTTTGAACATTCAAAGTTCACTGAATTTTTAAAACTCATTGTTGTGATTGAAATTTTTTGCCAAACAGACTTGTGAGTTCTGAAAACCGGTACTCTCAACTTAATGTCTAAAACTGTGATTCGAAACAACAACCGCCGAACAACTAGAATTGGTGGATGTGACTTTGGCCATGTCTCCTTGGCTGGAGGAAGAAACGAATTCTTTGAGATCATGACTATAACATTCGCTCTTCCTGGTTACGCACAAACCACAAACACTCCTTTCTGCCTGAGTGTCACTACCACCGAAGGATCCTCGAGCTCTCGCTCCAGGGGGACAAACCCCCCCGCCAAGGACACATTGTGCAAAAGTGGAGAAAGGCACATTGCTCCCACCCACCCTCACTTCCAGCACCGCTATGTTCTAAATCATGCCCTTTGACGTCCATTAAAGTAGAGTCCTACATGAATTGCTAAGCCAACGCTCAACCACCATCCTCAGCAATCGCCAAGAAGAAAACATACACAATCTTTTATCCTTGGCTGCATCAACATCATCAACCTAGATTCCCGCCTGTACTCTTCTCTGGCGTGACGAGTGCAAAGGGAACAATTCCTTAGCTCCGAGAACAGAATGAGCCTCCTCAGCAAAAGTGATGAAGAGTTGTGCAATGCTTTCTCAGCCACATTGGAGGGTGAAGCAAGGCATTGGTTCTACGATCTCCCTATAGGCACCATTCTGCTTTGTGCCTGAACAGAGATTTAACAGAGATTAGGATGACAGAGATTTGCAACCAGAGACCAAGTGAGCCGCTCAAGGATTTTCTCTTAAGATGGAAGACAACCAGGAAGGCAGCAATGGAGTAGAGGACTGCGCTAATATGACTATTATCAAAGGAGCAGTGAGGTGCAGCAGTTTGCATTGAGCCTCGTCATAATCTTCGAGGGTCCTACATTAAGATTTTGGACCAAGCAGATAGATACACAGATGATAGATAACAGTACAATTGTCTCCAAGTTACAGAGAAATAGTAAGGAACAAGCAATCAAACACCAGGTCATAGATTACACGATCATCGTATAAAGATGAAAAATAGAGAGGAAAGAACAGATTAGGCAATCCAAGAGTGCCTCCAAGTTCTAAGAGACTACCTGACTCCTAACTCTCTCTTCCTCCCTTCTATTTATTCCCTTCACTCCACTACCTTAGCCATCTCAGCAAGGTAGTTATTCTCCCTTTCTCTTTTGTTTATTTTATTTCTTCCCCGCCTCGTACATACTTTAGAAAAATCCCTATTGGGATTAATTATAAAAGCGTTCTTATCCTTATCAACAGAAGCCAAAGGCTCGGTTGCAGGCTTGGCCTTTGTATAAGCCTCGGTATGGCCCTGGTTGATCTTAGCTGTACACACCAACGTTCGCAATTGCGCAATGCAATTGTGCCTTGAGGCGCGCATCTGCTATTTCCCAGCCTGAGGCGTAATATTGCATTGCATATTGTGATGCCATCTATAGCGTACGTTATTATGCCCAAGGCGTACGCAATTTAACTTACGCCACGAGGCGTATATAAGGCGTAGGTTATTTATTTAGTGGGTCGATGTTAAGTTTGGTCCCCTGGGCCCACTTATTACTTATATACGGCCTTAGCAAGTTGGCAGTTCCATTGTATATGCTGCTTCTTCCCATTCGGAATGCTACGCAATTAGCAGTTCCTTCCACAGCTATCAACAGTTCGGCGCAAATTGCAGAGCCTTCTTCCAGTTTGGTCGCAATCAGTAGAGCCTTCTTCCAGTTTGGTCGCAATCAGTAGAGCCTTCTTCCAATTTGGTCGCAATCAGCAGAGTTTGGTAGCAATCTGCAGTACTCCTCTTTTTTATGCTTAGTTTTTGTTTCTATTGAATTTAATACGGAGTACTTAATATTAATGTTAATTTTCTGCCCATTAATACTTTATGTTTTTCCTTCAGTTAAGTTTTCAACTTTCAAGAGACCAATATTTTTTCCCCAGTTTATATATATATATATATATATATATATATATATATATATTATAATGATAACTTCAACTCTATACTAACTTTTTTATGCTTTTTTATGCTCCTCTGTTGATGCCTTTTTGTTTCTATTCACTTAAACACTAATTATGTTAATTTTCTGACTATTAATATTTTATTATTATCCTTTGATTAAGTTTCAACTTATCAATATTTTTTTCAGTTATTTATTTGTTGGTTTCTCTTGAATAATGCTTTTTGATATATATATACATATATATATATATATGTATATATGTATATATATATATATGTATATATGTATATATATATATGTATATATGTATATATATATATATGTATATATGTGTATATATATATATATATATATATATATATATATATATATATATTTACGCCTCAGCTATACGCCTCATTGCGCAATGAGGCTTACGCAATATGCAATTCTAAAAATCCGCCATGATTACGCAATAACGAACATTGGTACACACAACCAAATAATTTTAAATATTCTTTAGATTTTATGTACTACTCCCTCCGTCCCGTTGGAAGGTTCCCATAGCAAAACGGCACAGTTATTTAGACAATAATTAAATAAAGTATTTCGAGTATATTTTGAGAAATAATTTTAATAGGTATATATTATAATGTAGTTAGTATTGATAACTGTGATGTTATAAATGTATTATTTTTAATATTTATTGATCAATTTGTCACTTAAGATTGTTAATTGTTTCCTAAAATGGAAATGAGAACCTTCTAACGGGACGTCCAAAAAAGGAAAGTGGAACCTTCTAATGGGACAGAGGGAGTACTTGTTTAGTCAAGTGGACACCCAACTTTAAATAACTAGCACTAGGTGACGAGACTTGTCTAGATCAATTTCAAAGTCAATAAAAGTTTTGCACGTTTCTTTTCTCATGGAATTTTCCATAGGAAGAGTGAAATTCATGGCATGGTCGTCAACCTCATCTAATGCCAAACAGACATCAGCTTATACTCTTGGCCTCAACAATGGGAGAATAGTCCCCCAAGCCAACACAGGACTGATTAGAGGTCATCTCATTAAAATCATAAACCCTCCCCCTCAAGGGTGGTCCTCGCGATTAGAGACGTTACTATTTTATGACATAATCTTCTTGCCATCTTTAAATCGACTTGAGTAGGCCTCTTCAACCCGATGCTCAACCTTGGCAAGAGGAAGATTTCAAGGTCTGGGTGGTCGGCGATCAACATCTTAGAGGAAAACATCAAAATAAGTGTTGAAATATAAACTAGAATAATATTGAAGAATGGAGGAAAGATTTTCTGTGTATTTTATTAGAGGGTTAATGCCCTATATATATTACAAAGATGGAATATTCCTATATAAGATGCTATACAATAATAATGTCTAGAGTATATTCCTAAAGCATATTCTAAAGCATATTCATAAAGCATATTCCTAGATACAATAATACTTTCACACTCCCCCTCAAGTTGGAGCATAAATATTTATCATGCCCAACTTGTTACATAAGTAATCAACTCGAATCCCATTTAGAGCTTTAGTGAATAAATCTCCAAGTTATTCTACAGTCTTCACATATCCGGTAGAAATTAATCCTTTTTGTATCTTCTCTCGAATAAAATAGCAATCAACCTCAATATGCTTTGTTCTCTCATGAAATACGGGGTTGTTTGCTATGTGTATAACAACTTGGTTATCGCACCACAACTGAGCAGGCATTGGTGTCTTCAATCCAATTTCATTCAATAAATGGTGTATCCATATTATCTCACATGTGGATTGCGCCATAGCTCGATATTCTGATTCAGCACTAGAACGAGAAACCATATTATGTTTCTTACTCTTCCAGGATACAAGATTACCACCAACAAAGACACAATAGCCAGATGTAGATCTTCAATCATCTTTAGACCCAGCCCAATCAGCATCTGCAAAGCATTCTATTCTCATGTGATCATGGTTTTGATAAATAATACCTCGTCCTGGTGCTCCCTTTGAGTAACATAATATGTGTTCTACAGCAGCCCAATGATCAATGGTTGGTGATGACATGTATTGACTCACTACATTCACAGAGTAAGCAATATCTGGACGAGTGACTGCGAGATAATTAAGCTTTCCAACCAATCGTCTATATCTTTCTGGGTCTTCAAATGGCATGCCTTCTTGAGTGAGTTGCACATTGGGAACCATGGGAGTATTGCTCGGCTTTGATCCCAAATTCCCTGTTTCAGCGAGCAAATCAAGTACCTATTTTTCGTTGAGATAGAAATGTCTTTCTTACTCCGTGTTACCTCAATACCCAAGAAGTATTTCAATGAGCCTAGATCTTTTGTTTGGAACTGGCTATGAAGATAATTTTTAAGGGCCAAAATGCCTGCATTATCACTGCTTGTAATCACAAC